CACACACACAAAAATCTAGTGTATATGAGTTCCACTTGTCTAAATTTTGATAAAGTATTATTTTAAATTAAATGGAAATTTTGAAAAACAAAGCAGAATATAATATGTTTCCTTATTTTTGTCCTAGTTACAAATTAAATAATTCATTTTTCGTCTAACTAAATGTTATTGATTTTTTCTCCATAAAAAAGATGTATTAATCAATTCAACGTGAAATAACACTTACTAAATTCTGAAAAGGAAAACTCATTTTGAGTCAATGTTTTTAATTGAGTCTTTCCTTTTAATTAAAACTTTTCCAAAATTGTCTTTGAATAATAAATAATTACATTAACCAAACGTTACAAATTTGTACATGGAAAGATATACATACTTAGGCTAACCTTTATAAGATACGGTTTTTTGGTGGAGTAACAAAAATTAAATATAAGACAAAAAATGTCACATCTATAAGACATAAGGACTAATAAAATATTATTTTATATTACAAAAACCGTGAAACTCGTTATCAAAGAGAATAGAATATCATGGAAGGTGGCGAAGGGAGCAGTAATGGACGTCTTCGTCGGAGCCAGAAGCCGAAGCGACAATTGCAGAAGAGAGCATCAAGGGGAATAACGTTCGAGAGAAGTGTAGAAAATCTCTCTAGAGCAGGGAGAGAGACACTTGCATTGATGAACCGAACACGTCAAATATTGTTGAACAGTATTCCACACAATTTGTGTGCTGTCTTCGATAACTCTTGTCTTCATTACCGTTGGATTCGCTCTGGTTGGCTCGTAGAGGAGCGCCAAAAGCTGGCCGGCCGACTCTATCGGGTAATTTGGTTTGGATATATATTATGTGATGAATTGTTTTTCAACTCTTAAGTGATATATAGTAGTTTTGTTGTTACCGTTATGTGGATCTCGCTAGAGTTATCGTTATGGGAATCTAGTTATATGGAATCTCCGTTCATATGAAAAAGTGGCATCTACTTGCATAGTGTGTGGGTGTATATACGTATATAGAATATCATTACATATTAAGTTTTCTATCTTAGACTATATATTTATCACGATGGATTCAGTCATGAAGTATATTACACGCGTTAATTGTGATTTTTTTTTAAATATTTTGGTTGACAAAAAATTTTTTTATCTACAAGCCTTTCTCTATGTAATTTTACATTGCTTTTTTCTTTTTGTGTGTCTATCTTATTAATTATATGTCTTTTGCCATTTTTAGAATTTTTTTGAATATATGTAGTTGTACTAAAACTTTAAGGGTCAATTGAAATGTGATAAAGATACTTGTTAAGAGTTTTCTGAATTTTTGACATTTGAGATACATTTTTACGAAAAACCAAAATCTCTCTCATTGAATTTTACTCTGTATCTGTATTTTTATTATATATAAAACATGTTTTCATTTTTATATATTTTCAATGTGCAGTACTATTATGATCCAATGGGGCAAATGTACCGTTTCAGACATGAAGTGGAGACTATATACCGAACTATTGATGAAAACAATCGCGTTGTAATCATCCTCGACGATTAATATATCAAGAATGTTCAAATCTGTTAAGTTCATTTTTCTTATTTTTAATGGCTTTTTGCCAAACTGTTAAGTTGTCTTCTTCTTTTTAATGTTTTAGCCAAAGTGTTGTCTTGAACTGATATTTTTTAATATAAGGATAATTAAACATATTCCGTTGTTTACATAATTTACAAAATGTGATTTCTAGAGAGAGGTTTCCAATAATAGACAAAAACATTTTATAAAAAAACACCATTAATTTCGTAAAGTTATATGAGTGTACAAACAAAAAAAAAAGTTTAAGCTAATTTGTAAACATGTTTCTAGGTTATTATTATCAGTGTAACTAATTCATGATAAACGTTCTACACGTGCAAGAATATAGGGCTTTTCCGGCGCATTGTAGCTAGCGACCAATCATTACAGTTTTAGATGAAGAAACAAATATTATAATTTACTTTGAAATTGGTTGTTTGTTATTTGTTGTCGATGAAAATGATCTTCGGTTGATAATTTCTTGGTATATATTTTCTTATAAGAAATAATAAATATATTCCGAATAGAGGAAAACAGAACTTATTGCATGGTTATTGTTCGACCAACTTGTGACGTGATTTTCACACAAGAAATAAAAACACACACACACAAATTATGGTAATTTAATGAAGGGTCGTGTTTCATGAAGAAGAAAATGCATTTTTCTAGGGCTTCCAAAATATAGAAAATTTTAGGGTCCCAAACAATCTTCAAAGTTACTGATCGACTAGTACGTGACGCGATTCTCGCAAAATGGATACCCAAAAATAATGGTGCTCTGATGCAAAAATAAATGACTTGACTATCGTTCCTACTCTGTTATTTCTATAATTCTATATATATGTTCTCCC